AAAAAGGAAGAAAATCATACAGCCTTGCAGATACAAAAAAGGAAGAAAATCATACAGCCTTGTAGATACTAAATAGGAAGAATACTACATATTTACAGCCTATAATTTCGTAACACTTTCAACCATTCATTATTGCATAATCATGATCAACTTTATCCACCAACCAGGGGTATGTCCATTGATAGAGTGGAATGGTGAAATAGGATTCATGTAGCTCATCCCCAAATAGTTGGGATGAGGCTTTATTTAATTAGGTTGAGTATTCTAGGAGTTCTATAATATTTTATGAGATATGGGTATATGGCAAGTTTTGCTTCATATATTTCTGAAGTAGAACACTAATTTACTGTTCTCTCCAATTTCTTCTCATAGATTCTTTAGAGTATTCTTGTTATCTCTTTATTCTGCTCTGTGCTCAGATCCATATAGAGGTGAACTATTTATTTTTTAATTAAGTGTCCTTTTTTTTCTCTCTCATTCTCTTTATGCAGACTTGTAAAATGTTCATGTGATTCCCTTTATTTTCTTGTAATTTAAATCAGTCATTAATGTTGCAAATTGCCTTCTCAGATGCTCTTAGGCATATTACCAGGCCTTTTTTTGTGAGGCCTACTGGGTTAGTGTTCTTTTCCAGAAATATCCTCTCGTGTCATAATAATAACTATATTTTCCACTTTTTCCAGCTCCTTTCATTAATCAATCAACCAAACAGTTTGGGGAATGGACTGGCTATATTTTCTTGATCCAAGTGTTTACGAATGATGTCCACTGGACAAAAGGGTAGAAATGCTTTCAGCATATTCAATTGGAAATGGTGTGGCGAATCATCGTTAACTAGAGGGCTGCTAAGTGATGTGCCTCCTGAGATTGAACTGTCAGACTACAGAAGGCCACCAAGTTCTGGTAGTGAGAGCCCTTCTGGGTTTCTTGATGGTGAGGGCTTGAAGTTAGAACCTATTGCTGATTTGGACCTATTCTTTGAAAGGCTATATAATTATTATTGTGAAAAAGGACTGTGGTGCATAATCATCAAGTGGATTGTTGAACTCCTAACCCTTGGTTTCACCATATGTTTCTCTGGATTTTTCCTATTATTTGTTGATTGGAATGGACTGCGCCAGGCAAAGTGTGGAATAGATGCAGTTGACTCAGGAATTATCAAGTCTTGCGATCTGGCTAAGGTGGCTCTTCATCCACATCCTTTAACCCCCTTCACACTTTCCAAGGGTATTATTGTTGGGTACCTGGGTATATTTTCTGTCTATTGGATCTTCTGTTTCTTGTGGTTTTTTGCACAACTGAAGAACACATTGGAGATCAGGAACTTCTATTATAATAGGTCAGTCTGACACTACACTCTCATTCCTAGTTGATCTTCAAAGCTATAATGAGACCAAGCTACTAGCTGGATTCATTTTTTTTAGCAATAAGGTTTATTAGGAAACAAGGTTATTAAAGATGTTTAGGTTTCATTCCCTTGCTGTCCTCTGCAGTCTCCATGTTTCCGACCGTGAAGTTCAAACAACACCATGGGCATCAATTCTTGAAAAGGTTGTTCAGATACAGAGGTCACAACAACTTTGTGTGGTGAAGGATCTCTCTGCACATGATGTGGTAATGCGAATAATGCGCAAAGAGAACTACTTGATTGGAATGCTTAACAAAGGTGTGCTTGCTTTTCCAATTTCTAAGTGGGTCCCTGGTGTTGGTCCTGCTGTCAACTCTGGCAAAAATGGAAGAAAGAATCATTTAATACTACCGAAGACTCTTGAATGGACCTTATATTGGTGCATACTGCAGAGCATGTTTGATAGGTATACTTAGTTTACGAATGTCTTCTTGGACAGTGTGTTTAACTTTTTATGTTTCTTCTACAAAAATACCCTTCATGAACATGTCTTAAAGATATTATACTATGAAGGACAAAGAGGGGAACATATTCTGATCTATGATTGTCACTCTTAATAGCAGAAAACAAAGTGATTAAACCATAAAAGAAAAGATAAGAAATTAACCATTACTTAATACTTATATAGTATATTTGATTTATATCTCTCAGGACGGTTTCTCTCTTGGCAGATGGTTGCATTGCTTTTGCTTTTGTTCCAATCTCTTTTCTTCGTCTGTATATGGTTCTGCTGTTCCAATGATGTTTTCTTTATATTTCACTCTTTTGTTGACCAATAATTCCCTTTATTGATAAAAAATGTGGTTATACGTATCATTTTTATCAGTAACCACAACCAGATGAGTGCTTTTTCTTTATATTTCGCTCTTTATTGTTTTATTAATCTGGAAGTAGTAGTATTTTTTTTTTTTTGCTTTTTCTTTTTCATTTTGCAATACCATGGCTAATGCTATCGAAATGGAATATTAACCTTTTCTGAACGTTTTTGTACAGCTGCATCCATGAATGTAAAGAGAATAACTTCTATCTCTATGTAAGATATTATGCAGAATAAATGGTTATGGAAACTTTCAAATCAATTGGTTTAGATTTTCTTGGAGTGTGGAGTGTGGACTGAGTTACGGTCATATAAGTTAATTGATCTAGGCTCTATTAAGGGCTATCAGAAACAGAGTAGCCAAGATGTCTAGGCGACTCCTAAATGTTTTAGTTGCCTTTAATTACAAAAGAAACTAGATTTAGTCTAGGGACTTCGAATTAGCCGAACTGGTGAACCATCACCTGCCCAGAAGTCTGGGTTCATTTTACCACCAGACCACTTGCCTACAAACAACAAAAGTCAGTCAATGACCGAGTGAATCGGACAGTTGAACTGCTGAACTGTTTGACCAAGTCAGCAGGTCATGTGTCGCATATTAATTCTCATTTTCTGTTTTCTTTTTGTATTTTTAGCCATTTCCATCATTAATAAAAAATGATTTTTATTTATCACACTTATTTTGTTTAATATAATGAATATATAATATGAGAGATATGCCCATTTCTTATACAAATTTTCTGTAATGTTTTGTATTTTTCTACTTTTCTATATTTATTATTTAATCATGATGTCACAGGTAGACTTGTTTGACCTGGACAGTTGAACCACTAATCTGCCAGCTGGTTCCATTTCCGGGTTGGTGTTAAAAACACTGGTTGAATTGTCACATACAACACCAAGGTGATAAAGATACAGCACATAGATGTTCAAGTTCATAAGCCATTGACAAAGTTAACATGAGGTTTATTTAATGAAACAAAGTTAAATGAGGCTATCACAACCAATATCCTTTGTTATTATTTCCAAAATTTTGTGGAAACTATACTTATAACTCCTGGTTGTCCATATGTTGTGACAACAAATTGACATCAGTCACATCACATTGCCAAGTTGGTCTACTCGCTGCCTTTCTTCACAAGGATCCTTGTCACAATCCTTATTCGCTAAGGAGAAAAACCCTAATGCATTGTTGCCTGAGTAGTGCCTAGGTGCTTAGGAGCTTCTTTCTTTCTTGATAGTTGTAACTTCATGTTAGTGGAGCCTGTGTAGTGGTTACTCAACATGTCAAATTATTTTCAACTTTCTAATACATCATCTGTTGATCTGAGTATATAATGTTTGGGCAGAAACTTTTGTATCCGGAGGGACTTTATTTCAAACCCTTCTTCATTGAGGAAGAGGCTTATGGCAGTTGGGCTTGGAATGCTTCTACTTTCTCCATTTCTTGTCATTTTTATGTTGGTTTATCTCTTCCTGAGGCATGCTGAACAGTTCTATAACCACCCTAGCACCGCATCATCTAGAAGGTGGTCTAACCTTTCAAAGTGGATATTTAGAGAGTTCAATGAGGTATTTAATCATTTTATCTTTGTGCTCTTTGTGTATTTTATTTTATTTTTCTGATATTATCATTGATCCTCTCAATTTTTTACCTTGTAATAAGCAAAACTCCAATTTCAATGAAGTTTCATTTTTTTTTTTTTGAGAATTATGATAATCTTGTCAAAATATTGTAATGTTTTGATCAAATTTTGAGAAAATTGTAGAAAGAATAATCATTATGATTATTCAATGGTTGAAAACTTTAGATTTGTTTAAAGACTTCTCAATTGAAGACATTTATAGGAATTGGGAAGTGGTGGCATCTACAACTTCCATAAAACCTGCTGTGCAGGAATTGTGGTCCCCACCAACACAACAAAGAGTGAAACTGAACTTTGACGGGAGTTCTAGAGGTAACCCAGGCCGTTCAGGTATAGGAGTATTTCATGATGAAAATGGCAGAACTGTGGCTATGTTTTCAGGACCAATAGGAGTGGGGGCTCATTGAGAGCGGAGGTGATGGCCTTGCTTCAAGGTGTAAGATATGCCAAACAATTGGGGTTACACCAAATTGAGATAAGAGGGAGACTCTAAATTGTTGATTGAGTGGCTGCAATCTGGTAAGTTGGGAGCCTAGATTTATAGACAGCCCATAAGGAAAATCCTCAACACAACAAGGGAGATTGGTGTGTGCTTCAAATGGACAAGGAGATCAGCTAATGGTTTAGCTGACACGTTGGCTAAACAAGGGACTGTGAGGGAGACAGTGTTCTGGGCAGTTTTGTAAGAAAGATTACTGGGGGCTCAACACCTGTTTAGGGGTTGACAGTTGTACTTAACTCTGGAAAGCTTTACTTAAGTTGTATTAGTGAAGTTACCGTTTCCAATCAAAAAAAAAAAAGAGAAAATTATTATTCTTTCATCTCAGTTTGATTTCAAATAGGATTAAAGTTGACATTAAAATTGCTGATAAAAAAAAGCTGGCATTAAAATCAAATTGAATGTTTCCATCAATTTCTATCTACCCAATAGCCTAGAATGCATGTCTGTAAGTTATATATATTTGACCATGCTGATGTAGATAACAAAGTTTTGTTTATGTTATTATATGTTCTTTTTATTTGTATTGTATAATAGAGGGATACTTTGGAATAAGAGGCTTTGAGTAGGACTAGAAAAGAATACAAGGCAATAGAAAGAATAGAAATAAAGGTAACTCAAAGTAACACTTCTGTGCCATCGTGGTTCAGTATTGCATAGAGAATTTAGAGCATTTAGAGCAAGGTGGATGAATAATACCAAGAAGATTGAATTTAAAATATTATAATGTAGCAATAAGAGCATTTAGAGCAGTAGTGTGGGGAAGTAGATTTTTGTACAATCAAGAAGTAGCACATCCATAAGATAAGTGTAGTGAGATGAGTATGTTGAGAGGAATGAAAGGCCAATTGCTCTCCAAAATACCTAGGCAATTGCCTACTTAATACCTATACGATGTTTTACCCACAATGCTTGACTTTTAGCAATTTAACATTTGTCAAATTTGTGTCTTTTGCTCTTCCAAAAGTGGAAGCCCCATGATATTGGCCTTCCTTGATGAGGTCCTACAGTTCACGTAAATTATAGGAATATTAAGATTTCAAATAGGTATATCAGGTCTGAATTGACACGGGAGTTTGCGAATCATCTTTTATTCTTCTACCAGGGTCCAATGACCTTTAGGAATTCCTATGCTCTCCTTTTGGCCCTCCTTGACTAACTTGGCAATTCTTTCTTAGCTGTCTTTTTTGGATGGTTGTAAGGGATTCATCTGTGGGATGTGGTTTCATTTGTGGTCTCTTGGACTTTTTGCAAGGAAGGACCCATAGAATTTTTAAGAGTGCAGAAGGGCTTTTATACATCTCTATACAGATGCTAGTAGCAAAATAGTTTTCTTGTGGATCAGTCACTGGTATTGAAAAGAGTTTTGTGTCATCAACAAAAGGGATTTTGTATTTAACTAGCATGCCATTTTAGGTGCAGTGGATGGTATACTATAAGGCTATGGTTGGTTTGAAGGAAAAGGCAGGGAAACCTATACAAGGTTTGTAAAGGTTTCCCTACCTTTCCCTACTTTTTCTTTCAAACCAAACATAGCCTAAAGGTCTTTTTCACAACTTTGCTGCTCCCTTTATGCATGACCATAAGCTTTCTTGGTACATGAAAAGAAAGAAAGAAAAAGGTGCTACAAGGAGACTCAATCAAGGCTGAACTTTTGGTAGCTCTACAAGGTATTCAGATAGCAAATCAAATAGGAGTGGAGCATCTCCTAATTGAAGGAGATTCTAAAATGGTTGTTGGCTGGTTAACAGACCCAAACTCAGTAATTTGGTGCTACAAGGATGTCCTAAAGGTGAGCTGGTTAACAAGCAATATGAATGTTAGTACACGTTGGGTGAGAAGGTCAACAAATGCTATGGCCGATAGTCTTGCTAAATAGGGGGTCTTGAGGGAACATCTGTATTGGGAACTTCGTCACGAGATCTCATAAAAAATAACCCCCTTCCCATTTTCAACCTTCTTTTGAAACAGGGTGGAATAAGGTCTGGATGTAGCTTCCAACATTTATCCTTTGTATGTCTTGGTTTCTTATAGTATTCACATATAACCTCCTTCTTCCCTGTACCACCTGTAGTCATCTTAGGTTTCAACCCCATATTAGCAAAATGGTCAACTGGAATAGCCCCTTGAACATGAACCATCCTCCTGTTCTCCTCACTGCTTACCATGGCATAAGCCTGAGACAAAGATACAGTGTCTAGCTAGGATATTCTGTCTAGTAATATCAAATTCTGGATTTAACCCTATCAGGAATTCAAAAACCATATTCCTCTCAACTAATTTTCTCTGTCTCTGCATCATTTGTACTTTCCTAGACAACTGTTTCCATGAGATCTATCTCTTGCCACAAGGATTTCAGCATTGAGAAGTAGACTGCTAAAGGTTTCTCTCCCTTCCTTGGATTGTTCACATCACTTCTTAACTTATAAGCCCTGGCCACATTCAGTTTTTTGTGAATAGATTTCAGCAACACTATCCCATATTTCCTTAGCAGAATTCATCCACAAATAGTGTTGACTAATTTGCGGTTGCATCGAATTCACTAGTCACCCAATAACAGTGTAATTCTCTTGCAACCATTTCTCATAAGACGGATCATATTCCTTTGGTGCTTTCTTGCACTCGGAAATATATCTCCACTTGCCTCTACTACAAACATGTATCTTTACTAACTATGACCATGCTAGATAGTTAGTCCCATCAAGCTTGACTGTGGTCACAACCAATAAAGAGTCTACAGGTGCTCCTGGAACCTGTCTGGACTTTGAGCCCATCTTATTTTCAATTCCAAAAGCACCCATCTTCCTCAAACAACTCCTAACACAGTTTTAGATGACAAATAAAGGAGATAGGAAATAACATACACCAAATACCAACCTTCACAAATCCCTAACAGCCAACTACGTCTCACCCGAAACCTTGGAGAAATAGAAAAAAGACAGCCGCTCCCTGTAGGTTTCACAGAACTGTGCAAAGCTTGGATCGATTTTCAAGGTAATCAAAAAGAGCCCCTTCAATCTGTAGTAGACATGGTTTGCTTTATTTTGACCAGTGCCTTCAATCTGTAGATATTTTCTGGTTTCATATGTGGAGATTGGAGCATAATGATTAATATTGGCAAGGCATTAAATTTATATTTTGGAATAATATACCTTTCTGTTTTCAACATAAATCTTCTATTTGCTTTTCAAATATTGACTATGATTTGTTGAATTAACACATCTTTTTCTATGGATTCAGGTTGACCATTTGTTTAAACACCGTATTAATAGCAGTGTAATACATGCAGCTGAATATCTAAAGCAGTTTCCCTCCCCTATTGTTTCTATCATTGCCAAGTTCATTTCTTTTGTTTCCGGTGGTTTCGCTGCCATTCTGATTATAATTGCATTTCTGGAGGAATCTCTACTAGAAGGACATGTAATGATACTTTTTTGTACTCTGATCAGTGGCTATTAAATTCATTCTACAAGATTTTCACTTTCTAGATAAATATGATGGTTGGGTATTTCTTTTTTTTTTTCTTCTTTCTCAAGGCATCTTAACTGGAATGTGCAGATATTTGGTCGTAACTTGTTCTGGTATGCTGCTGTCTTTGGAACTGTGACAGCTATTAGTCGAGCTGCTGTGACTGATGAACTTCAGGTGCTCAACCCTGAAGAGGCAATGTCTATGGTCGTTCAACATACACATTATATGCCAAAGAGATGGCGTGGTAAAGAGAATAATGATACAGTACGCCTGGAGTTTGAGACCTTATTTCAGGTGAACATGCTATAATTGCTTTTTTATTGGTGCTTTAGTTCATTGTATCCATGAAAGAAAATGTATTACTACAGCATTGAAGCTAACAGAAAAACACAGTATAACCATCAAGGTTCAAAAATATAGGAAAGAAAAAACTAGAACAGATTGAGCAATATAACTCACTCATTAAAACCCCTTATTAGCTAATGAATTGGCTGACCATGGAATCAATCTGAATAAGACGTTCATTCTGGAAACCGAGGAACTAGCCTCTTTGATAAATTTCCAGACTTGTGGAAAGCCTTCAACCAGTAATAATAATGAAGACCTTCTACTGTTATTAATTAGAGCCTAGACTGAATGTCAATCTGACTCCTTTTAACACTCCCAACATCTCAGCCCCATGGTTTAAAGTGTCCATATATTTCCTAATATTTCCACCACATATTTCTATTTTCATGGATTTCGACATGAAATATTACTAGAATTAGCATATTCAGTACTCAGTAGTGAAAACTATTGGTGCTGCGTGGAGTACAAGGGATGGTATCATAACATAAGTTGACAACAATATTGTATACATGTGAAGTAGCAGTATCATTGTCCACCTAATGAACACAATTACCACTTCAAGCCAGCTCAAAATTCTTCTCAAATATGAAGTTAAATCTTAATTTTTTATGTGTAATAGATTATTTCATTGATCTATTAGTATCTTTTGCATTTTATGTGTTGAAATTTTGCTTGAACTTACCCTACCATGTAGTTTACAGGACAACTCTGCAGTACATTATTTTGTCTATTAACCTTAGTTTGTTAGCTTTGCTTGATGATTTGGAATAAGACAATAATTTAAAGGAAAAATCTATGCTGCCAGAAAGACACGATACAAGAAGAGCTTTGACCAATCAAAATCCACCTGTGAATTTTGATAAATACCACTTGATTGGTTACCACTTTTATGATACAATTGATTTTTTTTTATGAATTTTATGATTCGATTGATTGGTTACAAGATTTTCCAGTGTCATAGTCAAGCCCTAATTTAAAAGGCTGTACCTATGCTTCTTTCATCATTTTATAAAATGCTATTCTCTGTCTTTGCATGTTTCACAATGTTTCCGCCATGTCTATAATTTTTACAATATTTCCATATGACATTTCTGACATGTTTCCTATATTTGGATACCAATGTTTCCACTGATACCARCATTTTAAACCTTGCTGAGCCTTAATGGAATTCCTTTAACCAATCATCCTTGAGTAGACCAGCATAACATCTCCTATATGATATCTGAAAGCCCTGCAATGCCCAAAGCGTGAGATTCCATAACAATCAGCCATGATAGTTTGATTGCCCCTTGCCTTCTTAGGAAGGAAAACCCTATAGGTGCCATCTGTCACTGCATGACATTCTTGTCCTTTCATATTTCTTTGTGTTAATGTACTGTCATAGGACTAGGGAATCATGTCATTCAAATTATTGCTGTAATTATCAAATTTAATATTATCAAGCTTAATTTGATTTGCAGTATTAAGCATATCATACCTTCTATATAACAAGTACAATAGACTCACATTCATGATATATAATACACCTGTATTATTCTAGGAAAGGGTTAAAAAGTTGATTCAGAATTACTTGAAAAGATGTCAAACTGATAGATTACTTGGAATAAACTAGACTTGTCAGTTTAGAAGTTGCTTGAATACTGTGTAAATATGACATTGACATAACTTGAGTTCATAGGTTATTTTCTATTGTTTGAAGTTTTGTCAGTTTCCATTAGAGACTCAGATTTATAGGCTGGAATGTGATGTGGACGCCGGCAGCAGCAGCAGTAATTTAGTGTTCTCAGCAGCAGCAATTTACTGTTCTCATCCTATCTTATCTATTCAGTATTCTTACCTTATCTGCTTTCAGTAGTTGGGATTAGTAGGAGTCTTATCTATTCAGTGTTCTTATTTTATCAGTTCAGTAGTATGGATTAGTAGGGAGTCTTATCTTATCTTATCAGTAGGATAGATTAAGGGAGTCTTATCTTATCAGTTCAGTAGGATAGATTAGTAGGGAGTCTTCCTAATTAGCAAGGAGTCTTCCTAAAAGTAGGACTCTTATCTCTTGTAATCTCCTATTTAAGGAGCTAGGAATATTGAATAAAATCATCGAAAATTTCAGTCAAGAAAGAGAGCAAAGGAGAG